CCCTACCCAAGGAGAACATTTCCTTTGAAGAACATACGTTTTAATCTGTTTATATCAATAGGGTTAAACTCAACTGATTGAAACAAACATTCGCTGAGAATGTATGAAGTCCATGAGACTATGATGGTTAACAGGACACAGGTTCCATCCTCCAGGGTAGTCTATGTCTAGTGAGGTAAGGAAATTTCCACAGAGAAGAAATGCAATGCAGAATGGCAGATGGTATAATCTAGGCTACAAACACTGGAACTACAGTCAGCCCTCTTTATCTGTGGGTTCCACACTTGTGGATTCAACAAACCACCGATCAAAAATATATTTTAAAAAAAATTCCAGAAACTTCCAAAAAGCAAAACTTGAATTTGGTGTACCCAGGCAATTTACATAGCATTTACACTGTATTAGGCATTATAAAATTATCCAGAGATGACTTAAAGCATTCAGCAGAGTGTAAGCTACATGCAAACACTACATCATTTTGCATGAGGGATTTCAGCATCCACTGATTTTGGTATCAGTGGGGGTCCTGGAACTAATCCCTAATGGACACCAATGGATGGCTGTAATTTATCGATACTTCCCTGAGGATTAATGCTGTTAATGTGCTTAGTGGCCTTCTGAAGCAGATAGGTTAATTTTTACACATGAAGTTCCCTGGGGCTAATGAGAATTATTTTAAGCATTTAATTTATATACTAAATTAGATTTCTGTAGACTTAATCTATGTGTGCATGTACAGAATGAGGAAGCAGATATGAGGATGGGGTAAAAAGGGAGGGAGCTTTAAAGGCACTTCATTTTAATGAAAATGGATTTTAGAGGTTCTGAAAGTGACTTAAGGTGACTGCTAAAATAAATTACAACATATCCATATGACAGGATACTATGCGTAAACTGTAAATGCTAATGTAGAGAGATCAGCAAGATATATTATAAGATAAAAAAGCAAAAGACATATATATATATATATATGAAACATTTTAAAATGAGTATATCAATAGATACATGGAGATATACAAAATATTTTTCTGGAAGAAATCAAGAGAAACTGTTAACAGTTGAGATGGGTAGAAGGTAGGCTGCAGGGAGGAAGATTTCAATGTTCACTTTCTATGCAGTTAAATTTAAAAATTTTAATTTTAGACATGTATTACTTTTTCATTATTTAATATTTTAATTGTTAACATTAATTAAGTGGACAGAGAGATAAACAGATATATTTTCCCCTTTTCTTCTTTCTTTTTAAATTAATTAATTAATTAATTACTTTATTTTTCTTTTCTTCTCTTTAATTAAAAAACATTCTAAAAGGCTGTTGCATGAAAAAAACAGCACAGCAACAACTGAAAACAAAAATCTCAGGAATGGTGCTCCAGGCAGAGTGGCAGACAAAAGAACCTGAATTATTGTCCTGACGAAACACAAGTGAAAAAGCCAGATCAGACATAAAAAACACATTGTTTTAAGTGTGCTATTGAGTTGGTAAACTAAGAAACGAGGTTGAAATAAATCTATTTTTAGGTAAATAAGAACTAACAGTTGGTCCTTCCCTTAAAAAAAAAGAGATTCTAAAGTATTAATATTAATATATATTTCAGATAAAAGGGAAATGATTTCAGATGTTCAATTCAGATATGCAAGAAGGAAGAGTGAGAAAAGATTAATAAGTATGTAGATCCAATGCAATTTCAGTTGAATGCCCAATAGTTAACCTCTGTGGAATCTGACAAGCGGAATCTGAAATTTATATGGAAGAACAAAAGTCTGAATATATTAATAGTCAAGATACTCCTAAAGAAAAAGAACAAAATAGGAGGACTGCCCTTACTGGATATTGAGACTTGTAGAATTAAAATAAATAATGCCAGTAAATAACTATTAATGGCACAGAAAAAAGAAAATAGACCAATGGACAAAAGAAAAAAAAGACCCTATAAATAGGCCCGTGCATATTCACAAAAGCTTGATTTATGATGGAGAGGGCAGTGCAGATCAGTGGAGGAAATGATGGACTATTTCATTAAAGGTATTGAGACACTAAAAGCAGTTGCCATAAAGGAAAAGATTATTAAAATTTACTACATTAAATTAAGAGTTTCTGTTCATCAAAAGACACCATAAAAATAAGACAAGCCAAGAACCAGGAAAAAAATATTGCAATACACATAGCATCCAAAATATTTATAGAATTCCTACAATTGATAAAAGAGAGCCCAGAAGAAATAAGAGCAGAACACACAAACAGGGATTTAATGGAAGCGGAAACACAGAGGCTCATAAACATAATGAAAACATGTTAAACTTCATTAAGTCTTTAAATTCAAATTTAACTCACAAATTCATCCATTATAAAACCACAAGTTTGACAGAATTCTTACAGTTGGATAATACAGTCAGCCCTCTGTGTTTTACGATCCGTGGTTGGTTGAATCCAAGCATGTGGAACTCATGGGTATCAAGGGCCAACCATGGCAACTGAGCATCTGCAGATTTGGTACCCTCAGCAGGTCCCAGAACCCATCTTCCGCGGAGATGCAGGGATGGCAGCACTGTATGTTGTAATGGTGAAGATGTCAAGTAATAAATAGGATGTTCTCCTCTGGTAGTGCCAGTGTAGGTTTATATCATCAATTTGAAAAACAGCCTGGCTTTCTTACTAAAGTTGATCATGTGAGTAATCCTACAGTTCGGCAGTCTCACTCCAGACACATATCTTAGAGAACTGCTCATGTGTGTATGTCAGGAAACATACATGATGCTCCCAGCAGTTTTGTTCATAACTGCACAAAACAGCCCAAGGACATTAATGGTATGGACATGAACGGAACTCTGTATTAGAAACTCTATTCCATGTAATGGAATACCAGAGGGCAGTAAAACAGGAATGGAACTACTCTATGCAGCAAGATGGATGAAATTCCAAAAATGCTGAGCAAGGGAAGCAAGAGAGAATATGTGAACTATGATTCTATTTATACAAAGTTCAAAGACAGAAACAACACATATATCTTAAAATATTCATCACTGCCAATTAGTAAAGAAATGCAAATCAAACTAAACTGAGGTAGCACCTCACACCAGCCAGAATGGCTATCATCAAAAGTCTACAAACAGGACTTCCCTGATGGTCCTGTGGTAAAAAGCCCGCCTGCCAATGCAGGAGACATGGGTTTGATCCCTGGCCTGAGAAGACTCCACGTGCCTTGGGGCAACTAAGCCCTTGCTCGGGGGCCCTCGAACTGTGACTACTGAATCCTGTGCACTCAAGAGTCCACTTTCCGAAATAAGAGAAGCCACCTCAATGAGAAGCCCATGCACTGCAACTAGAAAGTAGCCCCTGCTTGCCACAGCATGAGAAAGCTCACACACACCAATGAAGACCCAGCACTGCTACAAATAAATAAAATTTTAAAGGTCTGCAAATGACAAATGCTGAGTGCAGAGAAAAGGTAATCCTCCTACACTGTTGATGGGAATGTAAATTGGTACAACCACTATGGAGACCATAATTTGAAATGCACATCAATGTTCACTGCAGACTATTTACATTAGCCAGGACACAGAAGGAACCCAAATGTCCGTCAGCAGAGGAATGGGTAAAGAAGATGTCATACAAATATACAGTGGAATATTACTTGGTCACAAAAAAGAATGAAATAATGCCACTTTCAGCAACATGGATGGACCTAGAGATTATCATACTAGGGTGTAGTAAATCGGACAGAGAAAGACAAATATATATAACTTATAGGTGATATCTAAAAATATGATACAAATGAACTTATTTACAAACAGAAATAGAGTCACAAATGTAGAAAGCAAACTTATGGTTATCAAAGTGGAAAGGTTGAGGGGAGTGATAAATTAGAAGGAGTTTGGGATTAACTCATACACAATGATATATATAAAATAAATAATCAACAAGGGTCTACTGTATAGCACAGGGACCTCTATTTGATCCTCTGCAATAACCTATACAGGAAAAGAATCTGCAAAAGATAGTTATATATATATATATATATATATATATATATATATACACACATATATATATGTATATATGTATATATATATATATATATATGAAATTGAATCACTTTGCTCTACACCTGACACTAACACAAGATTGTAAATCAACTGTATCTCAAAGTAAAATATAAATTAAGTCGAAATATATCAAGAAGTAATAAATTTAAGAAAAGCAAGAAAATGCATAATTCAAGATTCAGGAATGGGATTGTGTGGGGCAGAGGCGGAGGTGTAGGAATGGGGATGATCTGATTAGAGAGGGCACCCTGGGTATTCTAAGGGGCCTGTAGAACTCTATTTCCTAATGTGACAAGGGGGGGGTGCATGGATGGTCATTTTATTTTTAAAATTGTATAATACATTAAATATACATATTGTATACATTATATATATGTACACACACACACACACACACATATATACATATTTATATATAAGGTATTTCACAGGGAAGAACCCCACACATACATCTTTCTGATCACCATGGGGAACAGATTATGGACCAACAGGGAACGAATTTCTCGATGGATTTTTCCCTAGCTTTTAATCCATTATGAACTTTTATCATAGTGATATATTGAGACAGGATTCAGTCAACCTTGAAAACAGAGCAGACATCGAAGGGCCTGATGATAAACATGACCTCACACGAGAAGCTATAAAAAGCCATGTAACATAATGAAAGCTCTTCGCTGCCTCCCAGGTGAAAAATCTCCATTAACAGAGATTTAACTCCATCTAAGAGAGAAGAGCTGAAGGGAAGATCCTAGGCAAACAGCACAGGCTAGGACTGACTCAACAACACAAGTGGACTTCCAACGGTTAAGGCTGACAGTGACCTCTAAAGCATACTTGAAAAATAAGAGTTCTTCTGCTACATATATATTCACCTTGCTCCAGATGAACTGACACCTGCTTTTGGCTGCTATTCAAGAAACTGAATTCTTTTGCAAAGCAGTCTAAATGCTCACCTGTGTTTGACCATTTTTTGATCGTGGCAAAAATGACTGAAGAATCTCGCATAGAACAAGTGCATGACAGCATGCTCTTTCCCTCCAATGTACAAATCCACAGGCATCCAGTAATCTGCCAGCGCTGTGCTGAAAGGGCTGGGAGGAAGAGAAATGGTCATTTATTAAAAAAAATAAAACCTACTTTGTTACAACTGCATAAATTAGATAGACATTATAATTTGCATATTCCCTGAAATAAATTATGTGAAAGAAAAACAGTGATTTTCATTTTAAAATATAATGAGAAGCTTACATAAGAGAGGAGAAAAATGTCAGAGCAGTATTAATTTATGAAATTTACAAGAACTGTTTCAGAAGTCATTGCTGACATATTTTAACAAATGTGATTTTCACATAGAATGAGGACAAAAGGAATATATACCAGCAATAAAGGTATTTCTGTACAAGGCATATATTTGACTGTCTTGTTTTATTTTAATTTTTATTACCATAGACAATAGAGATTTTTGAGTTCTTACCAATAGAGGGCAATATGGCACTTAAAATGGAGACTCACGCAGATACTAAACATTCATCTTAAAACAGAAAATCTGTCTCAAAAGTAGCCTCAAAATGCAGATAGTCAGCAAGAGCCTGTATATGCCTCTTGAAATGCCCCTAGCATACGTAGAGTAATTAAAATAGCTCAACTCTCTCTCACCCAACAGGTATTTTTTGGTCAGTGGAGGTCCTAAAAGAAAAGTTTCCTCACTGGAAGCATCATTCTCAATCCTAATGAATGCCAAGGAGGAAAAGGCCACTCCCTCTATTTCCTGGCTGGGGTTCTTGTCGGGTGTGGGGCTGGTGGGGGGTGGGAGGGAGAAACAGCACTGGCTGGGGACAGATCTCTTCATCCCCAAGGTAATGCCCTCTCTTGAGGTCATCCAGTGAGGCAAACCTTGGCCTGTGGAGGATCTGCACCCCATGGCTTCCCGTATTTGTGAATTCTCCTCCCCACACCTCAAGCACATTTTTCCCCCGGCGTGGACCTTTGCTCCATCTCGGGCTGGAAGCAGGAGCCCAGGGCTAGGCAGGTGGGCCTGGCCAAACACCATGTGTTTGCATCTTAATACAGCTTGGCTTTCTCTCCTCCAGCTACGATGCCAGAATTCTGGCAAAATTTTAAATAATGTTTCTATGTGAAAAATGGCTCCCTGGAGAAATGTGACTGCTCACACAGGCGACAGAAAAGCAAGGGAAGTCAAGGATGGTGCCTGAAAGTAAGCTTGAAATAAACTGAGGAGTGAGACAATGAAAGTAGCTATGGCTGGGATCGATGACCCATCCGGGAAGCCACCCAGTGACAGCACAAGGCAGCGTGGAAATGCACAGCAGCATTTTACAAGGGGAATGATGTGCTGGGTGGGATTCCAAACCGGGGGCTGTGAAGGTCTCAGGATGTGTCTCACCACTCAGGGGCCCCTCATTAAGCCGGAGTCTCTGTCATCTGTAGGAAGGTTTTCCCTCAAATCTTTCTGAGACGTGGAGAGTCTGATTTCCCTTGCACTGTAAGGCTGCTCTTCCTAAATTATTGTTGCCGTTGTTGAGTCGCTAAGTCTTTCCGACTCTGCAAACCCATGGATTGCAGCACGCCAAGCTTCCCTGTTCTTCACTGTCTCCCGGAGTTTATCCAAGTTCATGTCCGTTGAATCAGTGATGCTATCCAACCATCTCATTCTCTGCTGCCCCCTTCTCTTCCTGACCTCAATCTTTTCCAGCATCAGGGTCTTTTCCAATGAGTTGGCTCTTCGCATCAGGTGGCCAAAGTATCGGAGCTTCAGCTTCAGCATCAGTCCTTCCAGTGAATATTCAGGGTTGATTTCCTTTAGGATTGACTGGTCTGATCTCCTTGCTGTCCAAGGGACTCTCAAGAGTCTTCTCCAACACCACAGCTCAAAAGCATCAATTCTTCAGTGCTCAGCCTTCTTTCTGGTCTAACTCTCACAACCATACGTGAAATGGAAGGCAATAAAAGCTCCTTCGAGAAGGAAGACCCAGAAGAGGGGCCTCTCTGTGGGTTGGCCGGGGTTGCCTGGTTGGTCCCAGCCGCAGCAATCCCTCTGTGTCCTTTCTGCCTCTGATAGCTGCTGTTCACTGGCTCCTGCTCATTTCTGCACAGCCTCCACGCAAATCATAGAACAGCAGGACTGGGGCAGGCAGGAGCACCCGTCTCCCTGGAAATACATTATCTCCCAACCAGCGAAGAAAATGGGGCCATTTTTATACTTGGCCTACAGGGTTTCAGTATAACCGTTCTCCCGTGGACAAGAGCGAGTCGGCAAGGTCTTTGAAGCACAGTGTCTGTGGTTTCCTGTGCTCTGCACCAGTTTTCTTTTGTTCTCATTTCCTTCTCTACCCATCTACCCATTGCTCTCTTTCCCTTATTTATTTTTGTCAAAGAAGCACAAGCACAAAGCTAAAAAAAATCAAACAGTCCCGAAAGGTTTATAATGTACAACAGTGGTCTCCCGCCCTGTTCCTTCACTACCCTCCCCCCGACAGCCTACCTGTCACTTAGCCACTTTTAAACCTTTCAGATGTTTTTTTTTCTGGCAATTATTTAAAAATATGTTTATATGCTTTGTTCATTTATCAGTTGTGGAAATTATCTAGTGACCGTATGTGCGAAGAGGTCACGCTCTCAGCTCGCTGACTCTCTGTCTTCTACCCTCCCTGTATACTTACATCATTATTTTCGGTTAAGTTAATAACTTTACATATTTACAACTGCATAAATGCAGTTCACTGCGGGGCCAACGAGGGTATTACCAAAGCTCTTCCTTTTATTCTTTTTCATTTTTCCTATACCTGGGATTTACTTGGCTCTGAAGAATTGAACACACTACAAGAGCCTGTTTCAAAGAATACAGTTGACCCATGGCTTCCAGCTCTTTCATCTCTGGACCCGCCGGGTGTTGATGGCAGTCTGTGCCCTCCTGGGAGGAGCAGACCCGAGTAGGCATTGCCTCCTGACTTGGGACTCTCGGCGTTTCCTATCCGGCCTGCTCAAGAATTTTCAAGCTGTGCTGGGGTCTGAGGCTCTTCGACCCAGTCCTTCTGCCTTTGTCCTTTTTTTTCACAGGTGTCAGACAGACCTATATCCCAGTCCAGGGCTTGGCTGCCGACTCCTGCTCCCTTCACCTCTTTATTCCCCAGAGGCACCTGCCCCCATAAATCTCTTGCCCATTGAATTCTATCTTGATGTTTGCTTCATGGAAGACCCAGACCAACACATGCTCATGAATTCAGCAGGGCTTTCTGTACCTCTGAGTATTCTGAGGGTCAGTATATCTGAAGTAGTACCAAGCAGAATCCACAAAGGTATCCATCGTATCTGTCTCTCTTGTGGCTGCTCCTTTGCACCTAAGAAGGAAAGAAAGTTCATCGATTGGTTTCTTTTTAAGTATTAATACATTTTCCACCAGCTTTTCAGAAAGCTATAACAATTAGTATGAATTCAAAATGTCACAAGAACAATGTCACATCATGAAAAGAACAGTTCACGGCATGGGCTCTCTTTGTACTGCAGGGTACACAATGCTTTAAAGAAACTTAAAAATGTAAATCTTCGACAATTAAAAGCCCTATTCTCTACTTCTCTGAATTTAACATGGTAGAATATCTAACAGGAATCTTATCTCTTTATGCACTCACTTCTCTCTTAGGCATGTCATGACTTGTCAGCCAATGCCTACTACTCTATAATGCTCATGGGGCACATCAGTTTATGAAGAGAAGTTGAAAACCAAATGTACTGAGATACCGCACTGAAAAATGAACTTGGTTCTTTAAAAAAATTTTTTCCTATCTCTATCTCTTGGGTGAGAGGAGCAGATATCCACAGTGGATATCCACTGCTTCCTGACCTCAGGAAGATAAGTCACCATGGAGACTCAAAAGCAGAAGTGTGCTGAAGCAACTTGTACCAGCTTGTGAGGATTGACTCTTGAGATCTCTTCCCAACCATGGGACGAGTGATGCCAAGGGGTCATCTGAAGTTAGCCCTTGGAGGAAGTACCTGGACCATAGAAATGGGCCAACATTACAAATCAGAAGCCCTGCTCCAGTGATCTATTTAGTACACACTCACCAACACACCATTGTCTAAAGAAAGGCTCCTTACAGAAGGTGAAGATAGCCCCCAGTTCAAGACAGTGAATGGAGGGAGATGCGTGGTATGTGAAGGGTTGAAAAGAAAAAGCAGTGCTCATCCTAGGAATGTGATATGTGGAGAGGACTGAGGTTCCGTAAGGGCCCAACTACCAAACCAATTTTGAAACGTGTCATAGGATGACGGCCCAGCGGACTGGAACCATAAGCCACCACTTCTGGGAAGGCAAGAGACAGTACCCTTAGCCAAGCCTGGCCAAAGAAGGTGCTTGGCTCCCTTGAAGACCCCTCAAAGGCATGGATCAGTAGTGGATGGGGGTCAACAGCTATTAGCAGGGACCCTTTGTGGCTGTGAGAAGCCACAGCAGGAGAACACAGCTCAGACCCCAGGCTCTTCCTTCTGAAGCATGGAAGTGGGACCAACCATGCCTCCCAATGCTGCCTTCTTGGTGGGATGAGTCCTTGGGGGAGGGAGTTGTTCTTGGAAAATTTGAGGAGGGGGATGATGTGCCCCCAAGAGGAAGTGATGAATCCTTTGCTAATTTAGTACGTAAGGGCTTCAGTCTGTTTTTAATTTTAAAAATAAAAGAAGGAATCTAAAAAAAAAAAATAAAAGAAGGGTTGCCTTTATATGTTGCATATGTGAAGCAGTTCATACTGGCTTTCTGAATATTACCGGAGGAAACAGTCACTCCCACCTCCTGCTTATTAAATGGAAGTGGCTGAGCAGAGAACACAGGAGCCCACACCTGGCAGGGCTCTGGGCTCCCAGGGGCCTCATGCCTCTCAGTCAGGGGGCCTCACACTGGGAACAGTGCTGGTTCCAGGGGAAGGGGCTTATCGGAGAGAGCCCCAGGGGACCCCTAATCCTGTTTCCTACCACCCAGGGCTGCTCTAAGAATCTGATCTCAACAGTGCATCTCTAAATGAAAGCCAGATCTCTTTATCTGGAGAGTAAGCAACCAGAACACATACTATTTTGGGGAAATAATTAGAAGGTAAATGTCTCTTCTTCTTCCTCACTGTTAGGGTACACATACGATTTAGGAAGAAAACGCAGGACTCAGCTAATAAAAGGGGCTGATATCTGACCAAAACTTGCCATGCTGATTTTTTAAATGGTCACGGTGGATTTGAAGTTGACCAACACCTTTTATGGCTGACACTAAAAGCTGGATTATACAGAAGAGACTACTTGGTAAGTGGGAGGCATAGACAACAGTGATGGTGACAGCGTTACTACCATTATTAGCTCCAACATTAATAATACTAAAACTGGGTGGTGGGCACTGAGCCAAACGCTTCCCAGGCTTTATCTCATTTAATCCCCAGTAACTCTGGGGATGATGAGGCAGACACTACTGACGTCCCTACTTTGCAGATGGGTAACTAGGGTTCAGAGAGGTTGAGAAATCTGCTCAAGGTCCTGCAGCTCAAGGGTAATGAATCTACCTCTGCTGGAGTCCGGTGCCCATGGTTCCTACCACTGGGCTGTCCCGCTTGGCCACATGGGCTCGGCGGCTCTCAGCCCTGCATGCTCATCAGATTCAACAGGGAGCCTTGACCAAGCCCACGCCTGGGGTCTGCTCTCCAGGAATCAGTAGACAAGGTAGATCTTATCCCCACCACCAAGGCCCTGGGCAGCCACAATGGGTGGGCTGAAGGCTGCCCATGTCTCCAACAGAGAAGTACTCTGTTACTGCTTATCAACAAAAAGGGTGTGCTATCTCTCCCCTACCGGGACCAGAGCTTCCTGCAAGCCCCATCGCAAACCTCAAAACTGCCTGCGTGAGCACCTGGGTAAACTGCTGGCAGGCCGGGGCAGAATGTCGCTAATACTTCCAGTTACAGAGTGTCTGCTAGGAGCCACTGTGCTGGGTTCCATGTGTTAATTCTCATCTTCTGAAACCCCTTCATGGGGTTATTTTCGCTCCTGATAGGGAAATCAGTGCTCAGCAAGCTTACGTGACTTTCCCAAGACCACAGAGCTGGTGAAGAGGCCAGGCCAGGACTTGAAGCCGTGAGTGTTGTTTCCCCAGCCCGAGCCACGCACTTGCACTACTGCTCAGTCACCCAGTCGTGTCTCTTTGCGACCCCATGGACTGCAGCACACCAGGCTTCCTTGCCCTTCACTATCTCCCAGAGTTTGCTCAGACGCATGGTCATTGAGTCGATGATGCCATCCAACTAGGTGAATATCTAATTACTGACCTAGAGGTGGAAGTAAGAGGACTAAGTTATTTTAAAACTTTAAAACAACCCCAGCATGATCTACAAGGCAGAGAAAAATGGCTTTTCCATGGAAGGACGGAGGGAAATACCATACTTTGTTATCTGTTATTTACTTTTTAATCAGTTGGAATGGCATCCTAAAAAATCACATGGGAGGGACTTCCCTAGAGGTCCAGTGGTTAAGACTTTGCCTTCCAATGCAGGGGAGGAGGGTTTCATCCCTAGTTGGGAGCTAAGACCCTATATGTCTCAGGGCCAAAGAATCAAAAAACCAAAGCAGAAGCTATACTGTAACAAATTCAATACAGATTTTTAAAAAATGATCCACATCAAAAGATCTTAAAAAAAAAAAAAAAAGGGAGACACGCCAGTGAATTGACAGAAAACATAATCCTACTTCCAAAATGAGAATTAAGGAGATACGACATATTTCAGGATATTAAAGAATGGGACCCCTGAGTACACTTGTCCTCGTAGCTACTATCCTGCTGCTTGTGATAAAATCTCCACTGTTATCATAGTCACTCTGTGGGAAAACCGTAAGGCGTTTCCTCTTTTCTCTGAGAAGCTCTTTGGAATACAAAATGAAGGAAAGTGGTCTTTTCCCAAAGCTATGATGAAAATGTGTAGCTTTTCCATCAGTTGGATCGGCTGTTTCTGGAAAAGATGTGAATTGATATTGCTGCCTCCACCAGCCCAGAGGAGAGGAGAGGGCACCCATCACAGGGCTGGGCTCCAGATTCCAACCTCCTCTTTCTAAGATTGCAAAAGACCCATGTTATTCTTTCCAACCAAGTGGGTGTCCAAGAGCAGAGTTAGCAGAAGGAGGGACAGGGCAGTCTGGCACTCCAGCAGGGGCTGGGCCAGGCAGGGTCGCGGCCGAGGGGTGTGGCTCCTTACCTAGGGCAGGAGCAGTTCACCCACTCGGAAGCCGAGGCCAGTGGGGAGCCTCCCTTGCCGGTGAAAGAGGTGATGCTGGGCAGGGTCACGGGCAAGTCCTCCAAAGGCACGGGCACGGGCCCACAGACCGGACAGTGGACCATGGGGATGGGCGTGCCCCAGTACCGCTGCCTCGAGATCAGCCAGTCCTTCAGCTTGTCACTCGTCACGTCACCGCCCACTCTCTCCCTCCGGGCTTTCTGAGTCAGGGCTAGAAACGCAGCCTGCCGCTGCATACCTGTGAACTGAGAGGGGGAGGAGAGCGGTAAGAGTGAGCTGCTACCCTGAGGCCACCACCCTGGACTGCCACTGTCTGGAAATAAGTATCTGGGGAGAAGACAGAGCTCTAAAAGGAAAAGCCAATTTTGGTCAACTGCCTCAAGGAACCAGTTTCCCTGGAGGAGGTCATTTTTCTCAAGCAGAAGATTCCCAAAATAAGGTATTAGTTATTTCAACAACTATACTATTCGGGGATCAGGTTCAACTTGGAGTTGAGAAGCTTTTAGATCTTGAAAAAGTACATTATTTTTGGCTTCCCTGGTGATCCAGTGGCTAAGGCTCCATGCTCCCAATGCAGGGGACCTGGGTTCAACCTCTGGTCAGGGAATTTGATCCCACATGTCGCAACTAAGAGTTCACATGCTGCAACTAAGATCCTGTGTGGTCAAAATAAATAAATAAAATAAAAGTAAATAATAATAGTAATAAAGGAACATTATTTTGGTTTCATAGATTTAGAAACGAGGCTGCAAGACTGTTAGGTGTTGGAATGAATGCAATGGTAAATGGTAGGTTGTAACTTGCATCGAAAGGAAAATGCACCATCAAGCTCATGTGAAGACCATGAGTTTAGAAGTAAAATCTTAGGCCCCACCAACCTCCGCAGAGTCATTCAGTCTCTCTGTGCCATCTGGCATCGTTTCAATGACTTCGGAGTAGGACAGGCCCAGAGTCTGGGCCAAGGCGGAGTCCTCTAAGCTGGTGCTGGGAATTCCTGTTCAAGGAGAAGAAATACAAAATGTCTTCTTTGCAAATGCCCAAATCACAAAAGGACTGCGAGCACTGACATTCAGCATTAGCTTTTGAAGGGAGACTCTATCTTTTTTTAGTCAGAGAAATTATCAAACCACATCGCATTCACTGAGAAAAGGGAGAATAGTCTTGGGGAAACTCACCGCCCTGATACCATGGTGTTCCGTATTGACCCTACTTTCTTTACGTCTTATTCCTTTGTTTACTTTCTTTGAAAACAATTACTTGTAATTCTAAAATATACAATTTTGGGTGCTTTTGTCACTTAAACAGTGAATCACAAGCACCTGGGGAAGCCTGGTTTTGAACTCCTTCAGTGACACAGCACAGTGGGGTGCTCTTGATCAGCAGGGCTGACTCCGCTAGCGTCTCCCAGCGCCCCAGAAACATCCACTCGGGCAGGAAGTGGAAAGCTGGCAACTGTGTTTCTCCATACTGCGCTTTGTTCCCAGAGGCAACAGTACATTCTTCAACCCACATACGCCCTTGAGGAGATGGAGCTGAGTGTAAGGAAATCGCTCATTCAGAGGATCAGGGCCTGCTGTTTCAGCTTCAGCTCTTCAGAAAAACAGGCTTTTCAGCTGTCAGTTCTGTAGGCCAGGGTTTCTCCACCTGGGCCCGATCTGACATTCTGAAGTTGGCTGTGGGGACACAGCAGGCCACACGGCAACTGAGAGAGAGAACTAAGGGTCACACACAAGACGCTTGCCTCAGATCTCCACGAACAGCCTCTCTGGGACGCTGCCCTACAAGGGCGACTTAATGTTTGGGGTGCGGGTTCTCAACCTCCTTGGTAAGATAGAAAACACCACGGTATGACGGAAAGCTCTGTGGTGTTTATTCCAGCTGAGATTATTAACAAAAAGCATCTAATGAAGCAAATAAACTGTCAGAGTGGACTTGAAAGACACTGAAGGGGGAGGACAAATGGCAAGCAATGAAGATTGCTGAGAAGTGTTCATGGACAAGGAGGGAAGAAAGTCATTTACTCCATTCCTGTGTGGTCTGGAGTAACTCAGAGAGAGATCTGCAAATGGAGATGTGACCACAGAATTTACCTGACCACATAAAGCTCACGCTGGGCCACCATGTTGGTCACGCAGGGCTCAGCAGCATGTAAACTACTTGTAACATGTCGGCAAGATGGTGAAAACCCTACTTCATCTCGTTTACTTTCGTTTCTGTTATTCTTGGAGCGCAAGAGACAATAACTTAGAAAATGTTAATTATGCAAGTATGCAAAATGAAGACAATAGGAAAACTGATTTTCCATGCATACCCAAGAAAATCAGATTTCTCTTTTTCTTGTTCCCTTTTTCTTCAGAACTCTCAATATTGTGCCAGTACTTTGACTCAAAATACCAAATGAGGGGGGAAAAAAAAGCCACATCAGCAAGAGCTTCCCTTACTGTTCAACTTGGCTGGCTATATTAATGCATTTTACTAATTATAAGATGCATTAAAGTACTAGAAGGAATTATGTCCCTTAAGCAACATATTTTCTAGGTTAAACTGTCAGATAAGAATGACTTGAATGGCTAAATATCTGTTTTCTGGGTTGGTGTTTCTTCAAATCACTTTGTCAAAAAAGGATTTGAGGACTGTGAGGAAAAACATGGTTTCAATAAGCAACGCTACTTCTTCTGTGTCCTAGGAGATAGAGAGTGTGGCAGTAACCTTCTCTGCAGGTTCCAGCTCACTGGTGACTGGCTGGAATCTACAGTAGGTAAGTTGTAAAAGAGAAATGCTCGGGTCCCCTTCAGGGCAGGTCTTGGATGGGATATGATTAGGTTCCATCCCCTGGTTCAACCCCAGACTTCCTGTTAGGTGAGGATAGTTTAGAGCACTCAGCAATGAGTAAGGCCACCAACCACATACAATTTACAGCTCTACAAATGCCTTCAATTCTACTGCTGTTTCACAATCCCTTTCTTTCCCGGCTCAAGGTCACCCCCTCCACTAAGTCTTCCCCCAAAAGTTAGCCCACATCAATCATGTGTGCTTTGAACCCCCATCTCAGTAGCTACTGCTGCTTCTATGAGTTCTGAAATGGGATTCTTATCTGAGTAGTATGGTTCCCCACATTGTATAGGCAAGTCTCACCAACTAGCTCCACTGGCAAAATCTGTGGGCCAGACATTTTTGATTATTCTCAGTAGCAAGGAGCAAGATGCGATACACTCAATGTGTTTTCAAAATGCAATGCTTTAACTAAGAGACAATGATATGAAGGGACACTCATTTTTACAAAGAGGCAAAACAGATCATGGAATATACAGCTAGCTCTTCAGGTTAGTATATTGATCTTAAGCCTGCTAAAGACATTCTCCTGATTACATTTTACTAGCTACTTACCTATTTTTGCATCTAGAGAGCCCTCCAAGTCAGCTTTGGCCAAGATGATGACCGGGACTTCCCGCTGGGTGAGCATGCTCACAGCCGTCACGGGCGTCAGGCAATCTGAAAACGAGGGCAAACAACGGTGGAGGCCCGTCAGCTGGGGCTCTGACACCCTCTGCAGTCTCAGAGGAGACAAGTGAGAAAAAGAAGCTTTAGAACCTCTGTGTTTTGTGCTAATTATTATAGAATTTGTTCTTTGAAGGTATTAACAGATAATTCACACTAGTGGAGAATCAAAAGATTAAACAAATACATGAGAATATTCATTCGTGCTCCTCACCAAAGAAGCGAAAATGGCACTTTTGCTTTCCAGAAGGTGGAGGAAAGATGTTCCTACCACCTCCCTTATTCTTTAGAAAAGTACCTCAAGTATACAGAAGAAAGAGAAAACCAATAATCTATCTATGGTGAAACTAAAAGATATCTGGAATTTTAAAACATAACACTTAGAGATGGAAGTGGCTAGGACAGGGGAAAATGACTGAGCAGAGATCCGATTTTCACACATACAAGGACAAAACCATTCCGTTCCTTCTCATGATCCATATCTAAGGAGATACCAGAGGCTGTGGTCCAGCAAAAAGTAAAAGTTGCTTACTCGTGTCCGACTCTTTGAGACCCCATGGACTGTAACCTATCAGACTCCTCCAACCATGGGATTTTCCAGCCAAGGATGCTGGAGTGGGTTGCCATTTCTTTCTCCAGGGGATCTTCCTGACCCAGGGATCGAACCCGGGTCTCCTGCATTGCAGGCAGACACTTTACCGTCTAAGCCACCAGGGAAGCCCTGCGAAAGGAAGGGGTAAATCAAGAAAGAGGCAGATATGGAATCCAGGAAACAAACAAGGAATCCAACAAAGAGAAGAGGGCAGGGACATCTGCAGAGCAGCAACAGACAGGACTCCCAGGATGGCAGATGTGTGGCAGGAGCCGGGAGAAGGACCAGGTGACATGTAAGCAGGACAGAGTGCCCCAGGAAGCATCGTCAGGGAAAAACAGAGGACCGGCAGATTATCTGACAGACCGGAATATGTAGAAAACTTGAAAGGAGTTTTAAAGAGCTTCTGGGAGGGCGTGGGAAGACAATCAGAAATTCAAAGAACAAAAAACAAATGAAAAAAAAAAAAGAGAGAGAGAGAACAAGATGAACTTCAGGAAAAATAGAGTTATAGAAAAAGGAAAATGTAATCAGAGTATATTTGGCTCAGATGACTGATATTTATGTGGTCATAACAAAACACTTAATTTGGAATTATCCAAACAGAAGATAACTATCCAAACAGACCACAAATCTCTGCTTGGGCACAGGCTGCCAGCTGACCCCGTGTCTGTCTTGCCTCTGATTATGGCTGTGGAATGCAGGCAGAAGAACATGAGGACATGCTCGCAAAGGGAAGGGGCTGCCCTCTTCCCCCACCCCTTCTTCCCACAATGCAGATGACATGTAGAACAACTGAGAATGCTCAGATGAGGGCGACATCCTAGAGGGGCCGAGCAGGGCAAAAGAAAGCACCTCGGCCTGACTGCTCACAGGGCAAACTTGTCATACCCACTCTGTGCTTCACGTGTGCCAGAAATAAACTTCTTCGGACTCACTAGTTTTCTAGGACTCTGCCAAGCCACCAAACTTACATCTTAGTAACATGTTCCCCAAATTATTAAAAGGGGTTGGGTGAGAAGGCTACAGTCATTGTTGTTGTTAGTACCCTCTGAAATTTCATGTAATATACACGTTACTTAGATTTTTAAAAACACAAATTAATTTTTATAAAGAGAGATGGAAAGTGATCTTAAAGTATTACTTTTTACTCACTAAGTTGGGAAAACATTTAGAAGGGTACCATCAAGGCTTTCCCTGGTGGTTAAGAATTTGCCTGACAATACAGGAGATGCAGGTTCAATCCCTGGTCTGAGAAGATCCCACCTGCTGCGGAGCAACTAAGCCCATGTGCCACAACTACTGAGCCTGTGCTCTAGAGCCCTCAGCCGGAAGTACTGAGCCCTCGGGCCACAACTACTGAGTCCGGGCTCAGCAACAAGACAAGCCACCGCAACCAGAAAAAAGCTGACGTAGCACTGAAGACCCAGCACAGCCAAAAGATAGATAAATAAAATAAAATTAGAAGGGTACCATCACTGTGAAGTTGCACTGAAATTTGTATGTCATTTGGATAAGACACTCTAAACTGATACAGCCCTTTCAGAAGCCAATAAAAGCAACATGTAAAAAGAACCAAAGAAGGGTTCATAAACTTTGACCAAAAAAATCACACTCTTGGGGATGTTTTCTTTCTTTGTTTTTTTTGAGGCGGGGAGCTGTTTTCTAAGGAAGTAATTCTACAGAGGCAAAGAACTCCCTAATAGCCCAAACACGAAAAAGGCCAAATATTCAACACGATAGGGAAGATTTAGAATATTATGGTACATTGAGTTGACAGAATATTATGCATGGATTAAAGACAAGCCTGCCTAAAAACTAAGAAATATTTTCTGATATCATATTAAGTAAAAAATGAAAAAACAAAAGACAAGAGCAGTCTGATTTTTAGGATGAGTGTGTGTAGGAACATGAATTTAAAAGATGTATGACCACATGCAAAAGAATAAATTAAACTTAATTTCAAAATAGATTAAAAACCTAAATATAAGATCTAAAACTACAAAAGTCTTAGAAGAAAACACAGATGTAAACCTTCATGATCTTTGACTAGGCAATGGTGTCTTAGATATAACACCAAAAGCAAAAACAACAGAAGAAACAGTAGATAAATTGGACTTCACCAAAATTAAAAACTTCCAAGCTTCAAAGGACACCAAGAAGAGAAAAGAATACTCACAGAACTGGAGAACATTTATGTAAATCATATACCTGATGAGAAACTTGTATCTAGTGTAAAGAACTATCAAAAGTAAAGAATAAAAAGACAACTCAATTAAAAATTGAGCAGATGCTCTGAATAGATAATCCTCTACAGAAGATATGTAAATGGCCAATAAGGACATGAAAACATGATCAACACCATTAGTCATCAGATAAATGCAAATCGAAGCCACAGAGAGATAATGCTTCACACCCATTAGCATGACCATAACAAAAAAGACAGTGACAAGTGCTGGCAAAGATGTGGAGTACTGGATCCCTTTGCACTGCTTCTGGGGATGTAAAATAGAGCACCTGCCTTGAGAAAGTCTGACAGTTCCTCAACCAGTGAAATATAGAGTTACTATTAACATAAGACCCAACAACTCAATTCTTGGATACATATATGAAGAAATAAAAGCATATATTCACACAAGAATCTGTACCAAAGGTACATGGCAGCTAGCTAGAGAGTGGAAACCAAAATGTCTATCAACTGATGAAAGGATAAATAAAATGTGGTATATATAATGAAGTATTATTCTGAAATAAAAGGAGTGAAGTACTGACACATGCTACAACACTGTATCCTTGAAAACATTACACTAAGAGAAAGAAACCAGTCACAAAAGAACAAATACCATGTGAGTTCATTTATATGAAATGTCCAGAACAGGCAAAGATATGGAGAAAGAAAGTAGATCAGTGGTTTCCTGGGGCTGGGGAAATAGGAGGTATTAAGCATGCTTGCTAGAGGGTATGGGATTTCTTTGTGGGGGGCGGTGATGAAAATGTCCTAAAATTGATAGTGGTGATGGTTGTACAACTCTGTGGAGATATAAAAAAACCACTGAATTGTACACTTTAAATAGATAAATTTTATGGTATGTGAAATATATATCTATAAGTCATTATCAGAAAAATAAGGAAAAAAGTAGAGTATGGATTAAAGGGTTGGAGTTTTTTCATTTTCCCACTAAAAGTCTATTGTGACTGTTTTTCAATTAGAAAAAAAGTTATTATTTGAATTTACATATGAGCAGATTGGTAATGAATGCCCTACAGCAACACGCCTGCTCTACGCAGTCACAATCTATTTCTCAGAAAGAACGAAAGTTAAGATCTGAAGTTCTTGGTCAGGATTGGCGTTCTCCACATTTGTCATGAGCCATGTGCCGGCAACGTGAAGCAGGGAGCCAGGGAGAAATCCCAAGTGACTCAAGCAGTTCATACAGGGGTTAAATCACCATTAAAGGCCTTAGAAAACACCAAGGATTACTAATTTAACAGTCAGTAATTACAAAGGAAGCATTCTAGGCAAGAAGCTGCCCTCTCTCTCAGGGCCCCCACTGCAAACAAGGCAGGACTCTCATGCACCTTGGAAAAACAGACCAGGGATTTTTGTTCAGTGCTTAGCAGAGCGGTGTTGCCTGCAACTCGGTCCCTGGATCTCTGTGGAAACAGGGCCCCCAGGTCAAGCAAGTGTGAGGAGAGTCGCCTGACGTTCCCCTGTGACAATCACAGTGCACGTCAGCACAGACAAGGACAAGTCTGGAAGCAAAGAAACCTATTTATATCTGCTTTATACCAGGTTACCTGAGACAGAAGCCTTTCTCCGCACAGCATCTACCAACACCTGCTGAAATGAAAGGATGCTAGTGGGGACAAACTATTACCCACAGGATTCTGTTCCTGGCCCTTTGTTCCACCCCTACACTGATTCTACGGAGACAGGGCAAGGCAATAGGGAGCCATAAGTTATTCGATGCTTTGGGGCCTCTCTAATGTGTCAACAAAGACAGGGTTCCTAAGCCACTTATTACGGAGACCTCATTTACCCTTTTGGCAAAAAAAATGCATTGTGTAGACCATCGGTGACTCAGAGCTGAAATGCATGGTTCCAAAGCCCCAGGGTTTGCATATTTTAATATCAGGAGTGTAAGAAAAAGAATCCAGGAAAAAACAGAACAGCGTCTAGAACTCTGACAATATTTCCCCCATTGATGCTTTTTATGGTTTCTAGTTCCTATCAAGTCACAGCTTACGTAACACGACTTAAGTCAGAGGTAGTCAACTGAGAAGAGGAGACAACGTCAATGATTATGGAAATACACTCAATTTCAGGATCTGTACAGAGAGGGACGTTACTTTTCGCTCTCTTAAAGCAATCTGTGCCAATCACAGAATGCTGGGCAAAAACAGTACATTTAGTCAAAACCATGAGCAACATAGTCGGCCAGGCCAAAAATCAGGGAGATGCCCGAGGAGCCTTCTAAAAAAATAATTCTGAGAGCTATCCTCACCCCTCCATCCTGATGGCCACTGTTTCAGGGTCTTCACCACTTCCCACCTCACTACTGGGGGAGCCAGCTCTCCCGCCTCCACGCTAACGCTCAAACATCACCCTGCCCATACTCCACCTCAGAGCCCCTCAGGACTCCTTCTGTACTCCACCTTGCCTGGCAGCCCCATCACCTGTGCTGCTGGGAAAACTCAACTTCCTTCGGTTACAGGATGGATCTGGGATCAGAACCTTGGTCATCTCGTGCGAACTCAGGAGCCCGTATGCAGATACCAACTCAGCAACTGTAGGCACTTGAGGGTGAGAATTTAAGCTCATGCAAGTGATAAATTCAATCACAACTGTGTGCTACTACGCCTTGCAGTGGTCACTACTTTAATATTTATCCTGAAAACCAGATATTTGAGGGGAAACCAAGGCACCTGTCTGAATGGAGCCAGCTGGCAATGGTAAATGACACTAGTGATAAGATGCTCAGGTTTAAAATGTGACCTCAGAGGCCAAAGGAGGCATAAATCCATATCCACGCAGTAGTTTTAATTCACCTTCGGGAAAACCGCATTATACTCAAGCATTGTACTGGCCATAAATGACTGAGGCCACAGGTCAATATCCAGAGGTCTGACATGCAAATTAATCTAGAGACTTTGAATAAATTTCTGAAAATTAGAATTGGAAAATTTAGAGCCAAGTAGAGCATTCCATTTGGATTTATTTCAGAAATTACTAAAGCAGGGAGAACCAAGCAAATAAGCCACTCAGCGCCAAAAGGAAACCAACCAGGCCAAGTCAGATGTGCTGATACCCACATGACCGTGAAAACTTGCACATGCTAAAAATCACCTCTTAATTTTTTACATGTGAAAATGTTTTGGGTTCATATAGTATCTTTCACTCTATCTTTTATAACTTATTAGCTAGTTAATCCCCTACTGCTATTACTTCATTTTAATTTATGTCCCCAACTTAAGCATGGAGGGGGAATCTAAGGTCAGATTCACATTTTTTAGTTTTTCAATTTTAGATATTATTCCACTGCCATAGCTCTCAAGAAATCTCAAAATGCTCATGAGAGTAAAAATGATGAGTTTTCCCTTTAAACCACTGAAAAGAATCCAATTTTTCTTTTGAATAAATGGAAAATAAAACTGAGAGTTATACTGGACTTCAGAAACACACACTGAAATCTTAAAAGAGTCTTTTCTTTATTTCAATATAGAACAACCAAAGAGATGAAACCAAGTGATATCTGTCCTGTGCCAGTGAATCACGTATGCATCTGGGTCTCCTCTGCGGCAGCATCCCAGGAGGCAAGACTGTGAGTGGCCACCTACCCGTCCCCGAGCGCTCTGCACGCAGCCAGCTCTCAGTAAGTATTAACTGATCTGAGTACTACTGTTGTTAAGAATTAGAAGTCTTAAGCAGAGAGAAGCTGGGGCAACACTGTTTATCTTTCCAATCTGATCAGGGAGTCTTTCCTTCTGGCTATTTTACGCATAGCAATTATTTAAAAGAAAAAAAAACCACACAAAACTATATTACCATTCAAAAATGTTTATTAATCTAGTAACTTAAACAGACCTGCAATAATTCAGACTATGTGCCTTGGGTTGAAGTTTATAGTCTATGAAAAGTGAAGTGGGCTGTGATTTTTACAGAAATATTTACATTTCTCTTGAGACCTACTTCTAATTTACAGGGCAGTTCCTTTTGCCTGCCCAGGATTCATACCCCTTCCTCTGGTAAGAGCCTGAGTTTTACAGAGCTATCCCTTCCTCGCAGATGACAGTCCTGGGGGGCTATCAAGGAATAAGGTACCTGGCCTTCCATCAGCTAGCAGAGGCCAGGGTCCCCAGCTGTACCAATCGGACACATTTCTCTGTAGGATGAATCTCAAACCAAGTGCCCCAAGTGTTGATGGCAAGGTGAGAGCAGATTTCCTCAGCCAGTGGTATTAAGACATTATTCGTTCTTGCTGCCCCAACCCATATGGCTGCCTAGTCCAAGTCCTCTTCCAGACTGGTTTTTCCCACAGTTTTCCAGTATGTTCCCCCTTTCCTCTGGGTTATCCAGAGGTGGACTCTGTGACTTGCAGCCCTGGACTTCAGACTAATGCAGAGGCACTTCTCATCCTCACTGACCAACACTTGCTATGCCAATTCGAGGTCAGTTTGATTCATTCATTAAAGACCAGACTGCTGGTCTGCTCAGATCACTCTGTGAATTCTTAAGAAACACTAAAATTAAGTTATTGAAATGTTTCCTCTGTTTCTCACTGGCTTCCTTCCTGTCCTTGTCAGTATAGTTTTACTTGATGATGAGACTATAAATTAAGCACAAGATTCTATTCTTATCAGAAAAGAGCTCTGAATCTAGATTATACTTAAAGGGAAAGAGTTGAACTTTCAAACAAAAACTTAAGAAGCGGAGAAACTACTGACTCAAAGTAACTTATTTTCAAGGCTCTTTCTGATCCTCACTCTTTAAAATCGACACATAAAGTCAGGCCAAGGAGAGGAACAGATCACACGGGATGACATATGTGAAAGGACTGTGAACCCTGTGAAATGTAAGGCATAACGCCCCCGTCTTAACCTTAACTTGCCGACTCACCTTGGCCAGGGATGAGGGCCTTCCGGAAGGTTTCCTTCAGAGGGCTGTGCCCGTGCAAGAGCCTGTGGCTGGGAGAGATGGCCACGTGGGAGGCGCCATAAACGGCCTCGGGGGTGGCTGTGTAGGCGCTCAGCTTTTCTCCTGTGACTTGCCCATCAACCTGACAAGAGGCGGAGTCATTTCATTTCTCAGTCCCCACTCTGGGCTGCCATGCTCCCCAGCCCACATCCCCTGTTCCCACCCCTCCTCAATCCCAGGCAGCGGGGACAGCAGCAGCAGGCATGTGGGGGCCTGAGATGGTCCCAGGCAGGGGCAGACAGGGGGAGAGAGAAGAGGCCCACAGTTCCTCTCTCAGGAGGCCTCCCCAGAGCCTACCCCCAGGCCTACTTGTGGGTCCCCATCAAAGGACGTCAAAGCATGCCCAGAAAGAGGCCTTCCCCAGTTCCTGGCTCCTCTGTCCAAGAATTAATAACAACTGTCAATGTTATTTGTCCTGGGAAAGGTGCTATACTTTCCTCCAGGATTTATGTGATGAATACAGACACCTACTTTTCCAAAAAGAGGTCTAAAGAGGCAGAAGGGGGTTTGTGAGCATGAACTGCTGCAGATGCTCCTGCTCAATCACCTTTAACATGAAGTCCAGATGGCAGCCCACACAGTCCCCAATCCAGTGGGCCTGCATGCCTTTTATCCCGTACCATTCCGGAAGGTCTGCCAGCGCGTCCTGCATGGCCTGTAGGAATGAAAGGAGAATGGAGAAGTAGAAACTACAGACTGCTTAAGACAAAGCGAGTGACTGGGGGCTTGCTAAGGTGGGAGAACCGGGGACACTGAGGCTCAGGAATTCACCCTTTTCTCCTTCACTGGCCAATCAGAGGGGCCCAGCAAAGGTTATACAGATGGGCCCATCATGACTCAACTTCATGAGATGGGCTTCACACACTTCTCTATTCTCAGTGAGCCAAAGTTTCAGAGAAAGAAGAAAATTAACAAGAAGAGGATGAGATGGTTGGATGGCATCACCGACTTTATGGACATGAATTTGAGCAAACTCTGGGAGATAGTAAAGGACAGGGAAGCCTGGCGTGTTGCAGTCCATGGGGTAGCAAAGAGTCAAACATCACTTAACAACTGAACAACAACATGCTTGTCTCTGATGGATGTGGTTGGGGCATTCTCCTCCCCAGTCTAGAACCTAAACTAAAGAAGTACACGTTTATGAATTTTTAAACTCTAAGATAAGCCATGGCTATTCTATAGCTCAGCTGTAGAATATATAGAACATTATAAATCTATTGTAAAAATAAAAATTAGTATAACAGAAATCATCACATTGATTTGTGTAACATTTGCTATTAGAGGCACACATTTTATTTTCATTGATATCTAATTTTAATCCATGTGTGTGTGTATGTGTACTAAGTCACTCAGTCGTGTCTGATTCTTTGCGATCTCACGAAATGTAGCATGCCAGGTTCCTCTGTCTATGGGGATTCTCCAGGCAAGAATACTGGAGTGGGTTGCCATGCCTTCACCCTGGGGACCTTCCCAATCGAGGCATGGAACCCACATCTTTTCCACTGGCAGGCAGGGTTCTTTACCAATAGCGCCACCTACAGGAAAAGATGAGCCAGGACTAAAACCCAGACTTCTGTTGTTCAGTCTCTTTAAGTTGTGTCAGATTCTTTGCTACCCTATGCAGCACGCCATGCTTCCCTGTCCTTCATTATCTCCCAGAGTTTGTTCAAACTCAAGATCATTGAGTTGATGATGCCATCCAACCATCTCATCCTCTGTCGTCTCCTTCTCCTCCTGCCCTCAATCTTTCCCAGCATCTGGGCCTTTTCCAGTGAGTCAGCTCTTCCCATCAGGTGGCCAAAGTACTGGAGCTTCAGCTTCAGCATCGGTCCTTTCAAAGAATATTCAGTTGCTTTCCTTTATGATTGACTGGTTTGATCTCTTTGCTGTCCAAGGGACTCTCAAGACTCTTCATCACCACAGTTTGAAAGCATCAATTCTTCAGTGTTCAGCCTTCATGGTCCAACTCTCACATCTGTGCATGACTACTGGAAAAACCATAGCTTTAACCAGATGGACCTTTGTCAGCAAAGTGATGTCTCTGTTTTTTAATATGCTGTCTAGGTTTGTCATAGCTTTTCTTCCAAGGAGCAAGTGTCTTTTAATTTCATGGCTGCAGTCATCATCTGCAGTGATTTTGGAATCTCCAGAAGATAAAGTCTGTCATTGCTTCCATTTTTCCCCCATCTATCTGCCATGGCGTCATGGGACCAGATACCATGATCTTCATTTTTTGGATGTGGAATTTTAAGCTAGCTTTTTCACTCTCCTCTTTCACCTTCATCAAGAGGCTCTTTAGTTCCTCTTTGCTTTCTGCCGTTAGGGTGGTGTCAGATGCATATCTGAGGTGATTGATATTTCTCCCGGTAATCTTGATTCCATCTTGTGCTTAATCCAACCTGGCATTTTGCATGATGTATTCTACATATAAGTTAAATAAGCAGGATGACACTATACAGCCTTGACATACTCCTTTCCCAATTTGGAACCAGTCCATTGTTCCATGTCCAGTTCTAACTGGTGCTTCTTGACCTGCATACAGGTTTCTCAGGAGGCAGGTAAACTATAGTTTCTCCATATTTTCCTTTCCTGGCTGACATAAGTAGGAACATGAATTTGCAGAGCTACATATGCCTGTAACAGTTTAAGAATGCTACAAAACAAATATCAGAAACACACAGTTTCTATTACTGACACCACAGACTTGAAAAACTGAACAACTAATTTTTGCATAACCCAGAGGTTAATGGGATTTCTGGGATTTGATCTTTGATATATCATTCTAAAGATGCATGAGTGATAAAAATGAGTCAGTTGGTAAGAACTGCAATGTAAACTTCATCTAAAATAAGGCCTTCCTAGAAATTCTTTCAAAGGAAATCAGCTGCTGTGGTAATTAGAAGATGGTATACTGTATCTCAATTATGAGTGAATCATGTACCAAAGATTCCATGTTCCCATCCACTTCAATTACAATATGGCCACTGAGCTCCTTTATAGAAGACGCTGTGTTTGGGAGAATGAGGAGTGCCAGGTGGGACTTTCCTGGTGGTCCAGTGGTTAAGATTCATTCTCCCAATACAGGCGGCCTCGGTTTGATCCCCGAATGGGGAACTGCTAAGATCCAGCATCCTGCATGTTGCACGGTGCAGCCAAAAAACAAAAATAAAAAAGGTGCCAGGAAATACAGAGGGTACAGGGATGTGTGGACATGCGCCAGGATGTGTTCAATCAGCAAAACCCAGGAAACTATGGGCCAAATGGCCTAGTCCTTCAATTGATAAACTGTAATAAAGAGAAAGGGATAAAGAGGGAAACCTACAGATTAAAACACTTAACAGACATTGTCAAATTTAAAAGATGAGGGTAGGAATAAACTGTATTATCCAGGGAGGCACATTTAAGTGGTAAACTATAGAGAAAGGTAAGGATGTGACTATTCTTTTTTTTTGATGTGACTATTCTTAAAGTCAGGATAGTGGCTACTGTGGGAAGCTTGGGGGGTAGTTACATTGAGATGAGGCATGTAGAGTGCTTGTAGAGTGCCGGTGAGATGTATTATCTTGACCTACAAGGGAGGCTGCTTTAAAATAATTTAATAAACTATATATTTGTTTTATATGGTTATCTGTGTTTCATTTTATAATAAAGATGTAAAAGTAAAACAAAGACTTTCTACTACGTTTGGTATTACACAGGTCTCAACTCTTCTCTCATACTGCTCCCAGAGTATGGTACAGGGAGACATTGGCCTGCGAGCTCAGTGATGCAAGTACAAACTCTTGTTTTTCTTTAAACCCCACAAGGGGCCTGGCCTAGAGCCTGGGACTGTGAACCTGAACTGGGCAAATGCTCATTAAATTCCCATTTAACTCCCTCCACTCCAGGGGGAGACTCAGAGAGCAAGACTATGTTCTAGAACCAGATCCCCAGGCCTCTAGGGAGGAAAGTAATAACCTTAGTAGACCGCTTCCTACGCAGCAGGCACTTTGGCATACGGGACCTCATTTAAATCTTCACCACAGTCAAGGAGTGTTGTCAAGGAGCATTATCTCCACCTCACAGAAGAGAAAACAAGCCTGGGGAATTTCCTCTGAGTCAGTCCACAAGTACAGGGCGGAACTGTGAAAGAGCACGGGCAGCAAGGTGCAGCCGACTCCTAGGTCCACACGCTTCCTACACCTTACTCTGCAGTGAGCCCTCTCTAGCAGAGGTCCTCATATCCAGCTTTCCCGCATCTGTATTTCAGATAGTTTTGACTCATCATTCTATAAGTTATAAGAGGTACTTCTTAGAGATCTGTCTGCTTCTATTATCCTATTTATATTTGTATCTTCTTCCTGGAAAGAAGGCTCTGGTTGCAGAGTCATAGGGCTGGGGTTGTGATCAAAACTCCCTTCAGATGAGGACCTAGAGGCTCCCAGAGGTCTAACAATCTGCACAACATGACTGAGCTCCCTTGAGTGAGGCCAAAAACTCATTCCTCAAGCCTCATTTAACTGCGATTCATCTTCCTTGAGCCTTGCTCCCCAACTGCACAATGAACTTTACTGTTTAAGCTGCCCAGCATTTGAAGTCTCTCCTTTCTGGAGAGGGTAGGCAGGGGAATTACAGGATGGGTGAGTGGCAAGGCCCCATCACCAACTATGGAAGCTAGAAAGGGGGTGTTCTTCCCACCCTACTCTTCTCCCCCCTTGAAGTTAAACAAACAGTGTAGCCCATCATGGGCTCACTACAGTCAGAATGCTGAGGGGGCACCCAGAGGCACAGGGTCCACCGGTTTAAACGCCACACCAGAACTGAGAGGCAGCGCAGACTTAGACAGACCATTCCTGGGACGGGATCTCAGCGGTAGTCTCGTTCTCCCCGACTCCTGCCCAGGCCTGTGTCTCCAGCTTCTCACCCAGCTATGAGGAACCTGATCCTCTTCTGATCAATTCTCTTTTGGCTTAAGTTAAACAGAGTAACTTAAGGTTGCTTCAACCAAGTTTCCTAACTGATAATGGACTTTAAAAGTTTCAACCTCTTTTTTAAAAGAGGTTTTTTTATTTGGCTGTGCTGGGTCTCAGTTGTGGCACATGGCATCTTCAAGTCTTTCTTGCAGTATTCGGGATTTTAATAGTGGCAAGGGGGATCTAGTTCTCTGACCAGGGATTGAACCTGGGACCCCTGCACTGGAAGCATGGAGCCTTAGCCACTGGACCACCAGGGAAGTCCCTCAACATCTTCATGTATGCTAGCTAAAACTGTACCGTCTTGATATCACTGTAGCAAAAGTGTTGAAATCTTGAATATATTAATTACATGTTAATATTAGAATAATAAGACATAATGTTTATAAACTATTAAAAAGCCTCTGACACAACTGTATATTTTAGAAAACTTTCCAATTTATGCAGCATTTAAGGGATCTTAAATGTCAGCAAGCACGTAACTAGGACTTTATGAACTCTGCATGACCCGCGGCTTTTCCTTTCCAAGGATCATTGAGATTCCATTTAACTTCCAAGCAAACCTACATGTGGTCTCATGGGATCTGATGTCCTTCCCATCAGATAAAACTCATGTGACATGATCTGAAGGTTGGCTCCATCTCCCATCCCATCCTTTCATGCCACAGACAGCTTGGATCTGACAGGGTCCATTTCTGACACA